ATGGTGTCAAATGATAGATGCAAAACTAAGATAAGAATGTATGATCGGTTTTGCTGTAAAATCAACCGTTTAGGTTTTACAGTCTGTCAAAGATGCAAAAAAGTCAATTTTCTACTGTCATTATTTCCGAAACAGTTGAAGTTAGGTATATGATATTATACATGTCTAGAATTTTCCGCAGAATCCAGAAATGTCATAATATACAGGGTGTCCCTTTTAAAAAAAATATATTTTTTTGTTTTAAAAACTTTTTGCAACACCCTGTATGAACAAAACTATGTTTTCTGAGAACTATTTTTCAAGCACTACAACTTTCTTATTTAAACTTTTTTTTATACACAGTGGCACAAAAAAGTTAAGGGGGTAGAAAAATATAAAAAATGACCTTGTAAATATATCAATTCTATAACCCTCACCACTGGAAGGAAACTCAATGTTCTCTTCATTGTCTTACAGAGCATAACTACCGTATCCTAGCTCTGTCGAGAAGCACCTCATAGTATGGGGTAATTGCGGTGGATTGAATACTTAACATTAGTACACTAGTTAAGAAGATGCACTTTGTGAATTATTAGGTATACAATTTAATTCACGCTGACTGACTAAGGCCCGGTTTATCCACCTTTTGATAAACTGTCAGGTGATGCAATCTGACGGATGATCTTGAAAAAGCGAACAGTTGCATTATCTGAATATAAAATCGAGATGTTAGTTCAAGGTTGTCACCGCTTTTGCATACATTAATTGGTGACTCATAGATAGGCAATTACTTATACATAATAATTGAAGTCGGGTAAGTGTTTGGAAGAAGTCCGGAGAGGTCAGAAAAGGGCTGGATAAGGTCTGGAGAAATCTAGACAAGTTTGGATAAGCCTGGATAAAGTCTGGAAAAGTCTAGCTAAGTCTGGAAAAGTCTGGATAAGTCTCGATAAAGTTTGGAAGAGCCTGGAAACGTCTGGAATAAGCTCTATAAGGTCTGGAGCAATCTAGACAAGTCTGGATAAAGTCTGGAAAAGTCTAGCTAAGTCTGGAAAAGTCTGGATAAAGTCTGGGTAAAGTCTGAAAAAGCCTGGAAATTTCTGGAAACGTCTGGAAAAGTCTGGAGAAATCTACACAAGTCTGGATAAGTCTGGATAAAGTCTGGAAAAGTCTAGCTAAAATTGGAAAAGTCTGGATAAAGTCTGGAAGAGCCTGGAAACGTCTGGAAAAACCTCTATAAGGTCTGGATAGAGTCTGGATTTATCTGGATAAAGTCTGGAAATGTCTAGCTAAGGCTGGAAAAGTCTGGATAAAGTCTGGAAGAGCCTGGAAATTTCTGGAAACGTCTGGAAAAGGCTGGATAAGGTCTGGAGAAATCTAGACAAGTCTGGATAAAGTCTGGAAAAGTCTAGCAAAGTCTGGATAAGTTTGGATAAAGTCTGCATAAGTCTGGATGAAGTTTGGGAGAGCCTGGAAACGTCTGGAAAAAGCTCTATAAGGTCTGGAGAAATCTAGACAAGTCTAAATAAAGTCTGGACATATCTGGATGAAGTCTGAAAAAGTCTAGCTAAGTCTGGATAAAGTCTGTAAATTTCTAGAAACGTCAGGAAAAAGCATGGAAATTTCTGGATTAGGTCGGAAAAATTCTGGAAAATATTAATGAACAAAAAATATTATAATTATTGTGAAAAAAACGTGGGGTGCTCAACGTACGAGAAATGTGGAACAAAGCATCCCACGCTTTTTTCACAATAATTCTAATATTTTTTGTTCATTAATATTTTCTGTTTATATTAAAAATTATTTTTCACTTTTTAGTTCAATTTACTATAAAAGCGTGTTTTTTAGTTTTTTTAAACTATATTTTTTTTTATTTACGTGACAAATCTCTGACAATAAGCCTATTAGCTGTGCTATTAGATATTGGTCTGTAGATGGTTGTTTTTCAAAGCAAGGAAGTGGTTTAATATTTTTTCGACGTCCAATAGAAGAATCTAGGTATGTATAGGGTTTTTGACTTAAGATCACTGGTTTTTTTTCTCTGGACTTTCTAAAATCCAAAGTCTATGTTGACAAACCTCGAACAGTTGCCGCCTTAAAGGCCAACATTAGGCACGTTATTGCTCAAATTGAGCCACTTGTATGCGATAACGAACACTAAATGATTCCAACGACAATCTAAAATTGCCGCAGAAATGTATTGATAATTCGGATATTGTTGAAAACATCTATGGAGAAGTACTAAAAGAAGGAAGATTCAGGGACTGGACCAAATCTGCAATACTTTCTGCAAGAAATGTTGATATCGATGAAATAAACGAATAAGTTGTCGAACTGTTGGACTTCAAGACCGAAAAACTCTACACCAGTTTAGATAGTATCGAGAACTGTGATAATGGTGATCTAAATGATGCTATTCTTCCAAAATATTTAAATTCGCTTAATCCACCGAACTTCCCGCCCAATGAATTACTATTGAAAACGAATTCTATTGTATGCTTATTAAAAATCTAAGCATCAGTGCAGGTCTTTGCAATGGTACAAGGCCTTTAGTTCTGGAACTTGGGGATAATCTGTTACGCTGTGAAATATTGACTGTAGATAAACAGGGAGAAATAGTGTTCATAAATCGAATAACACTCTACTGCGAAAACGTCTACCCCTTTACATTCAAACGAAGACAGTTTCAAATTAAAATTGGCCTTTGCAGTGAATGACGATTAACAAATCTCAAGGACAAACATTTGATAGGATAGTAATTGATCTCCAGAAAGGATGTATTTAGTCACGGACAACTTTATGTGGCGCTTTGCAGAGTTCATTCGTGGGACTCATTAAAATTTTATATAGGGAAACAAAGAAGCAAAAGTGTTGTCAAAAACCATGTATTTAAAGAATTGTTTTTTTGATAATTAAATTTTGAAATTTTGCAGTCATAGGTGATTTCAGCAGATCTTTACAATACTTCGAAAAATGGATACCTACGAGTTCCATAAAACAGAATAAGATGCACTGGACATACGCACACCGTACATTCAAGAAATGTGATCGATTTAAAATCATTATGATATACCATACAAAAATAATTGGTCACCAACTCCATCCATCGCATTTGAAATTTCTTCACTAAAATGACATTTACATTATATACAATTTATCTCACTGTTACATTTAATGTATAATGTACATTTAAATCAAAAATTATGCTGTTTTTCGTACAACAACTAATAAATATTTTCCATTTTATAATTATTTTGATGGACTTGATTTGAGAAAAGAAGCGTGCGAAGCGCGCTCATGACCTAGTTATTATTAAAACACATTGGGTAGTGTGAATAAAAATTTAGTAAAAGCTTCTACAGTTTTAAGCATTGTGTTTAAATGGTGTGAATAAAAGTAAGCAATTCCTAGTATATGAAGGAAAATCTTACATTTTCGCAAGCCTGGCAAACCCTGGCTTGAACATTTTAGTTGTGTTTAAAAGTTTGCCAGAAATGGCTGCGTTTATGAATATAAGGTCTGCGAAATTTAATCCCAAAAGAAAATAAAGTCGTGCCAATATAACAGTCTTTTAATTCGGGGTTGGCTAAAGATTTTTCAGGAACCACCTCCGCCAACAAATCACTTATAGATTTGTCTGAATCACTATTCATTTTCACCTTGAAGCGCTGGCGTTGGATACCGCTACTTGTAAATGGGTACCTAAGTTCCAAGGTTCCTAAAGTTGATAGGTTGCCTGGTAATGGATAACCTGATGACGCGTCTGGGGTGCCTTATGGAGATTTGCATTATTATGTTGTGGCACCCCAGATGACGTCATAAAGTTATAAGGCAACCTACCTCTCTCGAACAATCTTGCCTAAGTTCACCATCACTCCACTGTTGCCAACAGTTGAGTAGTTGGGGAAAGGGGAAAGAATCGCGTTCAGCGGCGCTCAGCAAAAACCGCCTTTTGTCAGCTGCTGCCGATTTTTCTAAGCGGTAGAAGTTTGGGATTACTAACGCTGCGTTTTTATTCTCATCAAATTTTACCGATGGATCCACCATTCTATGTTGGTCATTGTCATTTTCCATTCACTAAGCAAAGATAGCTAACTCATTGGTGAAGTCACCGATTAGAATAAAAACGAGACGTCTCTCAACTTATGCTATAGACATGCGCAGAAGTGTCGGGCGTTCAGGAAATTTACTTCCGCTGTATCTCAACTATCCTCAAATGCTTCACGCTGCAAGTTAGCTGCTGGGTATTGGTGAATGTACCCAATTATTGACTTCTTTCTGTTTTCATGCCGCCGGTCATAGCTTTGTTCCAACACATCAAAAAACCGTACAATGCACCGTCATGATTCTACGCAAAGCTAAACATTTGTGCGTAGAACCCAAAATTCGTATACTGAAGAGTGGTTTCTAGACCGTTCATGAGACGGTTTTTGACGTGTTGGAACAAACCTCATACCATTCCGGTTTATAAAAATATAAATATCGGCATTATCAGTATTCAAACTCGCGAACACTTTTTGAGAATGCTGTAGATACTTCTCGAAATCTCCGTATTTGCAGTAAACGCTTCAAATATCTAGCTTTTGCTAGTAAGTAAAAGGAAAAGGTTATTCACTTCAATTTCAGCAAATGCTATTAGCAAAAGCTAAATCTACCCGATGGGCAGTGTGAATAAAAAATAAGTGTTTACTTAAAGAATTAAGTTATAGCATAAGTACAATCTTATTAGATTCAGCTATAAGTTTAAGTACATTCTGAAAAATTTGTGAATAATATTTTGCTTATACTTATAAGTGTATACTAAAAAATTTAAGTTTGAACTAACAATAGTAAACACATACTGGTTTTCTTATCCATTTGTTTTCTTTTTTTTTTAGTGAATAAATTATTTTTTATTGAAATACTTCCAAAAAAACTTTGTAAAAAGCGGCCGTATTCAATATTTTTGTCAAGAGATTTTTCAGTTTATTCAGTTATTACCTACAACCATTAGCAGACACACGTTTGTGAAATTGTTGAAAATGAATTCCGAGTCCGACAGTGAATCTCTTGACTCCGAAGTCGGTGAAGAACAAAGTGGCAATTTGCGCTTTATAGAGGCTTTATCTAATCACAAAGTATTATTTGATAAATCGCAGTTGCCATTAATAAGAAAAAAGAAGGAAAATTCCTTAACTAAAATGCAGGAATCATATCAAACAATTTATGGCAAAAGTATTACTATGAAACAGCTGAAAAAAAAGATTCAAAATATGAAAAACGAATTGAAGAAGAAAACAGATATGAAAGCAACTGGAAATAAAAAAATTATTTTGAAAGATTGGGAAAAAAAATTGCTGGACATTATTGATAAAGATGACAAAAACCCAACATTGCATAAAATTCCTGGAGCGGCGACAACGGGCTTGAAGCCATTGGAAAATATAGAAATGCAAAAACCAGCGGAAATAAGGCACGTTTTAGTCAGACCTCCTCCTTCCTCTAATATTACACCATCAAAACCAAAAAAAAATAAGCTGGAAGGGAAAGAAACAGATGAGACTGCAAACTTATGCACCGCAGATCTACAAAGATTGGTTCTTCTTGAGCAATTAAAACTCACGCGCATGCAGATCGAGCGAGAACAACTTTTATTGGACAAGCTACGTCCAAGTCTATCCGGAACCCAAGTTCTCGAAAGCCAAGATCCTGGAAGCCAAGGGCCTGGAAGCCAAGATCCCGAAACTTCAACGTACAGTTTAGCTTTAGATAAAATATATACAATGTTATAAATTATGAAACCTAATTTATTTTTTAAGTTACACCCCCTGTATATTTTTATTTGTTTCAACAGTTTTTGAATATCATAATTTTGATTTTATAATTATAACAATTTATATAATTAAATGTTTAGTTGGTAAATTAAATTTTTTATTTCTTCTCTCCGTTGGAATCCCCTTCTCCTAACATTTTCATCGTCATTTTCCAAATTGTATTCCTCTTCTTCTTCGTCATTCATAACATCTTCTTCTTCTTCGACAGGAAGTGGATCATTCAAATACTTTGATATATTATGAAGTATAGCACAACTAATAATAACAGATGCAACTCTCTCTAGTTTTACCCTAACCATATATTGCAGAATTGGAAACCTTCTCTTCAGTTGACCAAAGCACCTTTCGATGATGACTCTTTCTTTCGTGAAGAGCGTGTTGAACGCAATTTCTTCACGAGTTTCGGGATTTCTGTATGGCGTCATCAGCCAACGACTGATTCCATAACCAGAATCACCTAATAGCACCATATTATTATGCCGGATATTATTCATTTGGACATAAAGTGCAGAATTCTTTAGTATTCTACTGTCGTGTACTGACCCAGGCCACTGAGCGTCTATGGAAGTGAATTCTTCTTTTGCATTACATGTTGCCTGTACATTTATGCTAAAGTAACCTTTTCTGTTATAGTATTCGTCTCCATGCTCAGATGGTTTCGGAATTCTTATATGTGTGCAATCTATAGCACCAAATGCACAAGGAAACTGATACTTAGCACTCCACTCTTGTTGTGCTTCTTCAATGTTATTTAAAGGAAAACGTAACCAAATATGTGATTTTTGAATTATTTTAGTCAAAACAAATTTCACAGTTTTACTCACTGTTGTTCGATGAACGCCTTCATCCTTTCCAACTCCAATTTGGAATCCAGGATCGCTTAAAAATCGAAGAAATATCTGCATTTTTTGTCTGGAATTTAATGCTCCTCCCCTTGTTTCTCCAGTGTCTTCGAGGAAATGTTCTGCTAACCACTCAACATTAATTCTAGAAAATCGATATAAATTATGATAGTCCTCATCCCGACACTCAGTTCGTTGAGAATAATATTTTCGACGTCTGATGTTCATAAATTGAGCCATTTTTAAACGTGTTCGTGCGAAGTTCTACACAAGACTTAATTTTTAAGCTGCACATTAGCTGGCTTGAAAAATTCGAAGTTATTACTTGAAAATTGTAGTAAATGCTGTATTTTATTCACATCTAAATTAGCTTTGACTATGAAAAAACAGAACATACTTAAAGCAAACAGAATAAACTTATAAGTTTAAGCTAAGACTTATTATTATTCACAAAAATGTTAGCTTTTGCTACAAAAAAGGTAGTTTAAGTTCATACTACAATTTTATTCACACTGCCCAGTAAAAACTAAAGCTATCACTTAATACTTAAAGTGAAAGCTTAGTTTTTATTCACACTGCCCATTGTACATATTTCAAAAGACTAAAATTCTATTAACACATCATGAACATGGAAGATAGAAAAAATGCCTCCGTATTCCATGTCTGCCGTCACATACATATTTCTCCCTCGAAATTTAAATACCAAACATTTTATTTGCACGTCATTTTCAGGCTTTAACATGTATTACTTATCATCCTCGGAATGTTTTTGGTGACATCCCTCTTTTAAATCACACTTCATTAAGTCATTAAGGACAACCACATTAAAAATAAAAAAACTAGCATTATAGGTGCGGCTCCGAAAATGTGCTGGCACCCCATGAACTTAAGGGGGAAGAAGAATAATAGATGGCTACATAAATAGCGGCGTATATTCCGTAAATAGTTTAAAAGAATAACGATATTTTAAACAAGCATGTAATAAGATCAGTCTTATGATTCTTATTAATGTCGGCTGTTTAGCAGAATTATGGGGGCACAAATTTGTTATGAACCATATAGAATGTCTTGATGGGAATTTTACGGTGGATTAAAGAGTGTGATAAATTTATGAGATCTGAATTAATAACAGTTTTATACTGTACCTAATACGTTTTATAAATAGATATGTGCTGTTAATTATGACTAACCGTTGTTTTGCTTGGTTGAATTGATTCTAAAAAAATATATTCGTTTTGAATCACAAAACACAGGGCAATCGAGGCAGTACGGGAAAAAGTAACTCAATAATGCCGAGCTATTTCCAGGAAAAAGCTCGTCAAGAGTTCAAAGATAGGCTTTTTCAGTACCTAGTTGAAAAACAATGGACACAATTTCAAATATTATTTGCATGAATCCCTACTAAACCGGTACCTAGTTCACTTCGTGATACGTACTTAGAATCAAAAATATTTCTCCTGTATGTTTTTGATTTTGTATGTGTCGAGATTCTGTTATCATAAACTGCAAAAAATGTGCTAGGTATCAAATGTCAGCATCATCAATCGGGGTTAATCGGTATGCCGAACCTTTCTTCTTAACGTCATTCAGCTTTCTATAATCCACATCGTATGGTTTCAAACAATATTATATCAGAAAAACTATTGTTAAGTGTTTTATGGTTATATTGTACATATCTCTGATACTACGACGCTCGACCCAATATTTGCGAAAAGTGCCTGTTTTATACTTGTCCCATGTAAGTATACAAAATAAGAGCAAAGTTTGATAAGAGGCTCACCCAATATTTAATATGGATTTTCCTGCTTCCAAGGAAAATGAAATACATGATAGTATTATATAGTATAAGAGCATTTTATAACGGATATGAAATGGGATAGGTGGAATAGGGATTTGGCATTTAAGAGTACACATTTCGAAAACAATGATTTTGGTAGGGTTACTGAATATAAGAGCGAAGGGCGAAGGCGGTGTCTAATCAAGGCAATGCCAATATTCAAGTGTTAAGATTGTGACTGGATAACGGTTCATGATTAAGTTGTTTGTTCAATTCAGATGAGAAAATTAATTGGGGGCTATAAAATAAACATATTAAGAAAAATTAAAACTCAGATCAATTCCTTATTAAATTGTCGAGGAATAATGCTGTAACTTGTGCTTTACTATTTATTAAATTTTATTTATCTTGAACGTACAATAAAATTATTTGTATTCTGCTAGCGACACCTGTAAATGAAAATGCCTTCACGGCAAAGGACCGTTCTTGTTTGGACCACTGTTATATGGCTACTTAAATGCTTTCAAAGGGGGAACAGAACGGTAACCTTGAAAATACGCCCCGACTTTCTTGGCTCCCGCGCTTTTTTTAAAATTGCAGGTTTGACTGCCGCACCCTGTACATACATCCTAACCAAATGATAATACTTTCGATTCAGGAACTATTGTTTTAGAAAAATATTTATTTAATTTATTGAAACACAGAGGTGAGAAAAGAAAATTGGTTAAGTCAGGTAGCTGCGAAAGTACTCCTCCACTTCTTTCGCTAACATCAACATCATCTAGGAATTGATTAGCTATTCCTTCAACATTTCCCTTGTTTAACCAATAGGGCATTTTTAAATTGCACACTTGACAACCCATTCTCATACTTTAAACTTTTCTTTAGGTTTAAAAAATCCAGAAGCCTGGAAATTACTTTGACATTGCCTGGGGCCTCCTTAACTATTTTAAGGCAATGCTTCACAAATTTAGCAAAAGTCGATTTTATTTCAAACGGAAGCAATTACAACAAAAAACTGAAAAAAAAAATCGTATATTTTATTCATTAGGGCCATTGTCTATGACCAAATTTAAAAAATCCATTAAGCCGCGTCCAGATTAGTAAATAAATGCGTTGCGTTGAATTCGGGATTTGCCACATAAAGTCGATTTTATTTCAAACGGAAGCAATTACAACAAAAAACTGAAAAAAAAAATCGTATATTTTATTCATTAGGGCCATTGTCTATGACCAAATTTAAAAAATCCATTAAGCCGCGTCCAGATTAGTAAATAAATGCGTTGCGTTGAATTCGGGATTTGCCACATATTTTCGCGGCGCAAATTTGGTATCTGACCGACATAAATATTTGTGTTGAGCGCCGTGCGTTCGTGCTCAACGTGTGTGTGCCTATTTTATTTCAGTGTAGGCGTTGCTTGTTTTTGGTTATTTGTTCCGTTCGCGAAAAAATGCGTCCACACTATAACGATGTTGCGCCGCAAATCCCTTTGATGTCTTGAAAAAAACCGACAACCCGCGGATCGCGTGCGGTAAATGCCGCGAAAATTTTTGCGTGCGTCCGTATGCGGCGAACAGGTCCACACTCGCATAAATTTGTATCGCACACACAAGTTTGTGCCGAATGACACGCACAACGTAAATTTTTACTAATGTGGACGCGGCTTTACGTATTGAAAGAAAATCCTATCAGTTTTGCAAATTGAATGTAAGTTATTAAAAATTACCGCACGTTATGTTCCTGGTTTATATCTACAGTATATATCAGCCAAATGGAATAAAATCGATAATAAATAAATTGGGACCAGTTCGAAAAAACGCTTGGACCCGTCGATTTTGTTTTTTGCTAAACATTTTTTACAGAAAGTTTGTTTACACAGACTGTTCCAATAACAGCTGCGCCGGTATCCACGTTTTTTTTAAGGCACTTCTCGTCTGTTATAACATTTTTGAATCCTACGGAAAATTCTAGACGTATTTTATGTACAATAGAATGTCCTATACCTATCTTCAACTGTTTTGGAAATATTGAAATTTGTAACTTGAATTTTTTGACAGGCTGTAAAACCTAAACGGTTAATTTTAGAGCAAAACCGATCTTAAATTTTTAGATCTTAGTTTTTCATAAACTAGCATTTGACACTGACTTTGATTTTCATTCCTTATTAAAAATTCCTGTTAAATTTAATCTCCGGTTGAATTAAAAATTGGTGTAAAACAATAGCCTATGAAAAACTAAAGATGAAAATGTGGAATCGGTTTGGCTGTCAAATTAACCTTTTAGGTTTAACAGCCTGTCAATGTTGCTTAAAAGTCAATTTTGAACTGTCAATATTTCC